GATTTGATTTGATTTCATTTCATTTCATTTCATTTCATTTCATTTCATTTGATAAAGGCATGTGTATTTTTTAATGCTGTTATTAATGTTTCTCCCTGCGGGCAAATAGATGGTGCACAATTATTTTTTTCCTCCATATCTGTGTTTCTCAACCTCAGCAACTTTAAGATGTGCAGACTTCAACTCCCAGGATTCCCCAGCCAGCATGTGCGGACTCAACTCCCAGGATTCCCCAGCCAGCATGTGAGGACTCAACTCCCAGAATTCCCAGCCACCACATGTGGACTTCAACTCCCAGGATTCCCCAGCCTGCATGTGCAGACCAGCTCCCAGAATTCCCTAGCCAGCATGGGAGTTGAAATCCACACATCTTTAAAGTTGCTGAGGCTGAGAGACAGTGCTCTAAATATAGAGAGATGCCACTGAGGCAGAAGAAGAGCGGTTTGGAGTTTTGTGGTCAAGTTCAACCTGAAATTGACAAAACATGCAGGTGAGATGCGCTGCTTGGGACTGGGGACAGGAACGCCAAAGTTGGAAATATTAAGTCGCAACGTGAAGTTGGAGTGCGTGGCTGAAGACCCAGAAATGAAGGAGGAGACCGATTTATCAATTCTGCTCATCCAATAACTCCCTCATTGCTAGTCCAGTCTTCTGACAAAATAACGTTTATACACAATAATAAGCAAATAATTGCAAGATGGAGACACGCCCACACCGGTCTTGGGCCCTGCAGCATTCAGCAACTTCTGTGGCATTTGCCAGTGAGGGGTCCCCAACCCCCATGAAAGGAAGCCAGATAAATATGTCCAGAAATAAAATCAAAACTGGCTTTGCCCGGGTCTACCTCGTAGGGGTGTTGGGTGGAACATTTTTCCCAGTGTGGCATTTTGTCCCAGGCCAAAAGGGCCTTGTCCTTGGCCTGGAGCCAAACTGAAACCAGCCACACTGAACCTCTGCAACGAACTCAGCGGCTGTGCTCCCCAAGCATCACTCGCGGCTCGCTGCGCCTTCTTCGGGAAACCATGTCTGAGCAAGCCACAGTCAGGAATGCTGCCCCCCTATTTCCGAGTCGACGAAATGGAGTCGCCGCTGCTTGCGATCCCTTCCTGGTGCATCGAGAGACCCCCGAGCAGTGGGTCGAACTGATGATCTCTAAGAGCCCTTCCACCTTTTACCTCGGAGAGCCTACAAACCAAGCAGGCAGCTGATATATTTGATTTTTTTTTTATTAGAGATGCATCGGTGATGATCCTCCCCCCAAAAAAGCAGGGCCCAGGGCCGAAGTGCCCACTCGTGGCGCTCCGTCATATGCTCAGCATCAGCGGCTGCTGTTCCTCAGCCAGTTCCTCCCCGGGGGGGATTTCGTAAATGACGCAGAGGGAAGAGTACAGGCAGCCCACGAAAGAGACCACGCTGGCAAAATACATCACCCCGTTGGCACTGCCCACTGCTGCCGTCAAAGGGCCCATGACGACCGAGACAAGGATCTGGGCGAGAAAATACTGGCAGCTCAGGAGAGAGATATCCACGCCCATGCCTCGCTTGCAGCCGTCTTTGGCGGAGCCGGCAAACTGTCCGAGGAATGAGAGAGAGAGAGAGAGAAAGGGATGAGAGTACGGTTGCAGAGGGCTTCGGGCACGGGGCAAATGCACGGAAGGAGGGGGCTCACGCAGGGTAGGTATGCGGCGCCATCAGTGACATCAAGGAGAACCAAACCATGGGGCAATAAATGTTGGAAATGCCGCAAAACAGAAGGAATTTTCTATCTATCCATCCATCCATCCTCTATCTATCTTTATCTATTATTTATATCTATCTATCTATCTTATTTATCAATCATATCTATCTATCTACATCCATCCATCCATC